AATCGTTGTTCCTGGAGTGACATTTCATAACTCTGCATCTTTCGGTTTTTGTCTCGCAGGGGATAGATTTGCTTGGTTGCGAGATAATGAGTTTGCGCGACAAGCTTTAGCAGGGGTTAACCCTGTGAACATTGAACTTTTGAGGGTAATTTCTTATTAGTATTTTTTTGTACTAAATCAATTATAATTTTTCTTTAGTTGATCACTAAGCTTGTGGATATTTAACAGGAATTTCCAATTGTTAGCAAGCTAGATCCAGCTGTTTATGGTCCCCCTGATTCAGCTATTACGCGGGATCTTATAGAACAAGAGCTTAATGGAATGAGTGTTGAAGAGGTAGTGATTCTTTTCCAAAATGTTATTTGGGAAATCTAGTATAGCTGTTTTTCTTTTTATGTGTAAACCAGCTCTAACTTAAAATTTTCTGTTCAGGCTATTCAAGATAAGAGATTGTTTATACTTGATTATCATGACATGCTTTTGCCTTTTATTGGGAAGATGAACTCCTTGCCGGGGAGAAAAGCTTATGCATCAAGAACACTTTTCTTCTATACATCCAGAGGTGTTCTAAAGCCAATTGTCGTTGAACTTTCACTGCCTCCGACACCTTCTTCACCTAGGAACAAGCGTATATTCTCCCATGGACAAGATGCAACCAATCACTGGATATGGAATCTAGCCAAAGCACATGTTTGTTCAAATGATGCTGGTGTCCATCAGTTGGTGAACCACTGGTAAGCTTAGAGCCCTTCTCTTCTTCCCCTTAGTATTTTTCTTGTAAACATTTTTACATAGAGTTCTTCCAATGTTCGTTCTCATTGTGCTTTCGTAAAATCTAATAATCTTCTAGCTTTGACTCTATCAGTCAGGGAGGTGCCTCACTGTGCATGTAAAATTAATCTCTCAGGTTAAGGACTCATGCTTGTATGGAACCATATATCATTGCAACCCATAGGCATCTTAGCTCAATGCACCCAATTTATAAGCTACTTCACCCTCATATGCGCTACACGCTGGAAATCAATGCGCTTGCAAGGCAGAGTTTGATAAATGGGGGTGGAGTTATTGAAGCATGTTTTAGTCCTGGAAGGTATTCAATGGAAATAAGTTCCGCCGCTTACAAGAGCATGTGGCGGTTTGATATGGAAGCACTGCCTGCAGATTTAATAAGAAGGTAAAATTTCTCAATCATGACATCTCTTTAAACCTTGAAATGTAACTATTTGCGTTGCATGCTCAAGCTCAAACTAACCTTGCTACTTTTTCAACTAATAAACACAACATTGACTGCTTTTAAGGGGAATGGCTGTGGAGGATACATCGATGCCTTTGGGGGTGAAACTGGTGATTGAAGACTACCCTTATGCAGCAGATGGCCTTCTCATATGGTCTGCAATAAAAGAATATGTGGAGTCCTATGTTGATTACTACTATTCCGAGCCTAATTCTGTCACGTCTGACCTTGAGCTCCAGGGCTGGTGGAATGAGATCAAGAATAAGGGACACGTGGATAAGAAAAATGAGCCTTGGTGGCCAAAGCTTGTTACTAAAGAAGACTTGTCTGGCATACTCACCACAATGATCTGGACTGCCTCAGCCCAACATGCAGCAATAAACTTCGGGCAGTACCCTTTCGGAGGTTATGTACCTAACCGTCCTACCCTTATGCGAAAGCTCATTCCACATGAAGATGATCCCAGCTATGAGAACTTTATTCTTCACCCTGAGTACACTTTTCTTGCATCTTTGCCTACTCAACTCCAAGCTACTAAAGTGATGGCTGTTAAAGATACCTTGTCGACTCATTCAGCAGACGAGGAATACATGTATCAGTTACACGAAATTCAACAATTCTCCGTAAATGATCATGAAATTTTGGAGATTTTGAAAAGATTCTCTGCCAAATTAAAGGAGATAGAAGATACCATCAACCAACGAAACAAGGATATCCGTCTTAAGAATCGAAGTGGTGCTGGTGTTCCTCCATATGAACTGCTGCTACCTACTTCTGGTCCTGGTGTTACCTGTCGCGGTATTCCGAACAGCATCTCTATCTGACATGTTCATGTGTTCACTCTATAATTTATATCTTCTACGGTTATGACTTGGTTCTATGCAATTTGTAGTTATTATTCCTTCTTTTAGAAATATTTTGCAGGCCTTGCAGAATAATATACTGAGGGTTGTAAACTGTTGAGAAGCACATTGTAATTAGAAAATAATATTGAGCTTCCTTTTTTTATTTCATTTTTCATTTAACATTCACAGCTCTGATGAAGAAAAGAGCTAAATGATAAAAACAACACACTTTTTTTGGCAGCATGTAGAAAAGCAAACCTCAATGGGTAAAATGCAGAAGACTTGTAAATTAGTATCATTGCAACAACACGTGTAATTTATACCGTCAAATAGTTCGTGCGTCCTACGAGCTTCAAGCGCTATACCTATTAAGGTTTTACCAGAGCTCCACATAAAAATTCAATCACATGCAGAAAAAATTTACTATTAACATGAGAATTCTATACTTGATATATCCCAAACATCATTCGCTACTATAGTAGTTGGTTATCCGGTCCCTTACGATACAGGTGAACCTGAGTTCAAAGTTAATTTTATATCTTCAATTACAGTTAACACTTTTATGATAAATGTAATGATCTGCATGTGTATACAAGTTAAATTATTACTTATTTTAAATTATTTTATCGAAGAAGGGCCTAAAGTACTCACGAACCGTGAATTTGGTATAATATTGCACTTTGTTCACATTGTGAGTGTAACCCGTTAGAAATAAGGATAGACTTAACCTAAAAAGTTAACATCGGGAGCATTTTTATTCTGATAGATCAATGGAAGACAATATCATACTAACACAATTTGCATATTTTTCCCTAAAAATGCTTATACGTGTAATTTTCCCTTTTGACAATAAGTTTGGGCTAAGTGAAATAGAGGGTAAAAATTGGGTTAAACAATACAAATTACACTAGTTTAGTACATAATTATCTTCCTTCCCTTCAATTTGCATAATTACGAATTGTACCATATTTTTCACCTCGGACACTATATATATCGATTTCAGATATTCGAGATACATAGTAGTCGAATACATCTCATTAAGTCTAACTAATTAAGAAATGCAATTGAAAGTCGTCAATTGTGGAGGAAATCACGCATGCAACAATTTTACAATATTCTGGCACATCACAACGTGTAAAAAAAAAAATCAAAATCATTTCATTTTCTGAGGAAATTCAATAAACTTTATAGTTCTTCTCAATTCTTCTTCAATAATTTTGAACCTTTTTGTTCAGCAATGGACAATGTCACTATTTTGTTGAGACATTTTAAAACATGAATTTTTTATGATATTAAAATGGATATAAAATTGATGGAATCGTTCTCAAATGGTGTTACTTCCAACGATCTCGTTGAAACCATTTCAGTACAAATGCAAATCGATCAATATCTTAAATGTATAGAGATTAGATATATAGTGAAAAGAAATTCAACTCCAATGAAAATTCGAAATGAGATGGACATGAGATTATTTATGAAATCAAAACGATATATGTATCTGAATATACTATTTATAAGCTAAAATTTAATCATATACATGTCAAGATATAAATAATCATGTATCTGGTATCTAATGACAGATACATGTACATGATCAAATATCTTATTCTTGATGGATACAACTCAGAAACAAATTTATTATTATTATTATTAATATGTACACTCACCTGATAGATACATGAAAACTTACTACAAATATAGTGAAAAATTATTAACATGTTAAGATACATCAGAACTTGCGGAATATAACTCAGATACATAATTGAAGCCCTATTCATAAAATTGTACTCAGAAATATAAAGACTTACTATAGATATAGTGAAAAAAATACATTAACATGTTCAGATACACCAAAACTTTCAGGATATTATAAATTTATAATTCAAGCTCTATTCACAAAATCTTACTCAGATATATGTATAGTTGACAGATATATGAAGACTTATTTTAGATACAGTGATAAAAAATTTAAAAAATCAAATTTCTTCCAATTGTTTCGAGCATCAAATTTTTTTTTCCACAGATATATGTAATCTTAACTCATATCATGTACACATTGTCAAATACATGAACTCTTAATTAGATACGTATGCATATTTTGTCAGTTACATATTTTAACCACTGTCTCTCCTCCTCTACCCTTTATCTCTCTCTTCTACCACCGCCAACTCCGACGAAAACTATACCAAACTAGTGAGGGGGCGTTCGGTCAGCCATAACAACGATGGACTGAAACTTTACTCCACCAAATCAACAAAAAGCATGATTTATGGGATAGATTAGCATGTGGTTTATAAGTCTAGACTATTTTTTAGGGAGTGGTATATCTCCATATATCTTAACTCAATTACAATAGAAAATCTTAAATAGTGGGATGTTAGATAATTATTTAAAAGTATAGGTAGAATTATTATACATGGTATAGATGTTTTACCCTAAAATTTTGTTGTCTAAATTAACCCATGAGAAATTCAATTCTAAAAAAATACTCGAATGTTATATATAGTTATACTCCATCCATCCTATTATATGTGGTCCCTTTTTGTTTTAGTTTGTCCCAAAAAAAATATCACCTTACTATAATTTGAGATCATTTTACTTTAAATTCTTCTTTTACCCTTAAAAAAACAATTTACAACCACGCAAGTATTTAAGAATTATTTTAAACATCAAATTTCAAAAGTATTTCTTTTTTTCTTAAACACCATATCAAGTCAAAAAGTGACATATAAAACAAGACAGGGAAAACATGAAAGAAAAGAAAACTATCGGTAATGAAATCAATTCATAAAAAATTAAAATTTTATACGAGTTACACGAGTAAGATATGACTCATTATTTTGTTCATTTTGAGTCATTTCATCTCAACTAGAGTAACCTTTGAGCAGTTATCAACTTAAATCCTTTTTATTTAATTCAAATTTTAACTTAACTTACTCATTTGTGACCTTTATTTTTTTTCAACATCTAATTATATAAAACTTGTTTTTGTATAAATTTTGATAAATATAAAATTAAAAAAATAAGATATAATATTTAAAAAAATTATATGACATTTGAAGATAATGATGTCCATTCTACGTGTACTTTGTATATTTCTCCATCTGCCAACATTAGCATCCTCTTTATATGATAATCTTCTAGACATGCATCATCATCTCCTTCTTCAGAAACCCCACAAGGAGTAATTTCAGGTAATACGTGTTCGTTTTTTTTCACCTGCCGCACAGATAACATCGTCTTCATCTCAAATAAACTGAGTCTGTTATCGATGTTTTCTGCTAATTTACAGGATGGTGCTAGCATTTTGGTTGAAGAAAAGATGGATTCCTTAAACAGTTTGAAGCGTGTAAGTGGAGCGAGTTGACAATAGAATTTTGTCATTGGAGGGGGAGGCGGGCGGACTTCACCATCCCTTAACGACAGCAACAGCCACGACAACTTCTCACGGACACTGCATAAAGAGACTTGAAGCACAACACTGCAAATGTGTTCTACACAGGACAACATTCTGTAACTTGGGTCCAACATTTATGATCGACACCAACTCCATCCTAAGTAGCAACACAACACTGCATGACATTAGATATTGACGAAATATGAAGGTGATTTAGTTACAAGCATATTCAAAAAGAGAATCAAGTCGGCTTATAATAAGTAACATACGATTTTTCCTCTTCAAGGAGTGTGTGCTATCAGCCACATTCATCTTGCCTCTCTACAGCTTTCCTTTCTCCTTCTCTGATTGCGAAGTTCTGCAGACACGGTGACCAAAACATGCAAGGAAGAACCTCCACAAAATCAAGTAGAGATGACTATCAAAGACCGAGTGTAACAGTTCCCAGTAAAATATTTTAACTGCAATTTATTTAACCATCCTTCTGCAACATTTGCACGTCTTTCAAGCACCACTGTGGAGCATCCATCTCCCATTTCATAGCCCTTAAAACATTCCAGAATAACAGACCAACTTCAAGTAGCTATAAAACTTTTATCAATTTCTCCCTAGTCTGGACTGGTTACACAGATCTATTTCCTTGAATCATATCCTTCCACCCACTTCCCTGCTAGTAGATGAGCTTCCGGGCTTATGAATCTACTGTTCCTGCCTCAAACCCCACAAGAAAATTCATAGGAAAAAATATGAGCATACGTGGTTACAAGCCTTTACTCGTCTATTTCCATCCCCTTCTGGAAGGCATTTGCACCAAGGCTCACCTGCTCTTTCTGGTCTGAAACAAGTTGAGGGAGTGGGTCGGGGTTATGGTTTTAAAAAAAATTTAAGAAGCACAACCAGGGTCTTCACCACTAGTAATCCACCCCCTCCATCCAAAATAAAAACCATTACAAGAAAGAGGAGTCGCAAAGTGAAACTTCAAGACTCGATGCAAGTTCTTAAAAATTGAACAAATGAAAATGTCGAGACTTCTCCCAGTTGCAAGGATTCAAGGCCAAGAGTTTATACATGTCTTTTGCAGAGAAACAATTCAAAGAATGACAGCTTCGCAGTTTGGGTTACAAACCAAATAGGGTTATTGAAGTCCCTTATGATGCCACCAGAACACAAAATAAAAACTAATCAACAACAGGGCTGGAGATATAACACTAGCTCCTTCTTTCATTAATCAACTTACAAAAATCCCACTTGCAACAAACCGAGAAATACCCAGTTAGCCTCTAAAAGAATGTATGCAAGGGATGGTAACAGCAAAACGCTTTCCACAATACAGAAAATTTGAAAGAAAGTATCAAAAATCAATGAGGCCAGACCCATTATAGGCTCAAATAAGAATCCCCCATCTAAAAAAGAATGCACAAGATATCAAAACTTAACATTTGTACATCTCTAGCAGATGAAGCAGTAAAGTACCTTTACTGGCTTGGGCAGAGAATACGAGTATCTGAAGTATGGAAAATAAATTTGAAATTCTATGTATGCCAGGTTGTAGATATGCTCCTCAACCTGCTTTCCTTGATACTGCAGTGACATTTATAGATTTTAATTCTACATCAAAAACTGAAAATTTCCTAACATAAAATACAAAAAAAACCAAAAAGTGGAGACCCGTTGTTTGGCATGCAAGCCAAAAGGAATATGGGTATCCATGTTCTCAACAAATGAGATGGAATAAACCGTAATACAAAAGTCAAAGAATCAAAAAATGGAAGCAACCTCCAAGGCACTACCTATATATGGAATCATGCTAAAGGAAAAACAAGGGTAACCAAATGCATCAAGGAATAAACTACTTGCAATTTAGATAGTGTCACAGCAAGAAAAACGAATCAACATTTCCTTCCAAACGGAAAATATTTATTATTTTCAAGTAACTAAATCAATAGTACTTTCAAGATCAGGTCTTGTTTCATCTTGCTTGGCAAAACTTTGTTAATTAGAAACCGGGTAACGCTTTCAGCCAAAGAAAATGGTTGGTCTTTCAACCTAAGTCCAGCATTTTGAAATAAACTTTGAAAGAAACAACTTAAACCAAAATCTTAATATAATAATGTCATCCATGGTTAACTTCCATTATCAGCATTCCACCGAGCAGTCAGTAACTTCAGAACCCCATGTAGATAAGAGAGGTAACTGTAGTTGGTCCCTAAAACATGCAATGATTCTGAAACAAATCCTACAGAAAAAAAATAATCGTGCAGCTTGTTCATAATATCACCATATAACCTTTAAATGATTTTGAAAACGTCATCATGACTTCACATGACATTTGAATGACATCACTAAGGTTTGTCCCAAAAAACAATGGAACATGTGATATTTATGTGTCCTAATCCCTTGTGATCCAGACAATAATGTGCAACCTGCCCATGCAGATGGAAAGGGCCAGAAGAAAGGCATGGAAGTAAACAATAATGAAAAGTGAAAGCTGTGAACATGGAGAGCAGTAAAACATTCAATGTTGACGGGAAAGCATATATGTCATCCTTGATTACTATCCATGTATTCAGGTCCAATAATTACCTTCATATGTGCAATAGTTTCATTGAAATTCTTCATCAATGAAAAAGCTAAGAATTCCCCATCAGCTTTACACCACCATCTCTTGCAAACAGAATATGAAAATTAAAATCGACATACTAGAAGTATGAAACCAATCCATATGTTTAACAAAATCAATTTCAAGATCATTGTTTACACTGCCAATGGGAAATATGCTACATACACGAGTTTCAATTGAAACTGTTCCTTAACAGGTAAGCTCACTATGCCACCCCTGCCATGCAAGCAGTCCCAGAGATTTTGACAAGGCACCAGAGCCCAGTAAGTCAACCTGCAACAGATCTGATAACGCATAGCCAAAAGAATTGTTTCTTGATCTAATTGTCAGATAAGCCTGCTAAAAAACAGCTGAACTGATCGTCTAGCAAACAATTTTTGCAACTTCCTTTAAGTGCATGGCTCTAACCTCAACCACGTCAACCCATGAGTATTAGAGAAAGCAAAACTCAAACAGTTACTGAGCACTATTCACTTATCTTAGCCAAACAATCCACCAGTTCCCAACACCCCTTGCTTCAGTTCCTTTCTTCGCTGCTCCTCAAGAGGATCTGGACTCTTCATTACTCTTCGCACACGCCTAAAAACAACACAAAGAACATCAAATAACAGTCCAAGGAGCTAACCGAACTCCCATCTGAAAATTAGCACTGAAAGAAGATTTACCTATCTTGTGCATGCTGTGCAGGGAAAGTAGGCATGAATTCTTTAGACTTGGGGAGAGGAACTTCACGAAACCACTCATGGTTCAAAGCAGCATCGGCAGATATTCTCTGCAATATGTCATATAAACATCAATATCAAAAGAGGTAAAAACAACATAAAAAAGAATTTAGAAGTTCCCAAATGTTATTGCCATCACCTTCGCAGGATCATAAGTCAGAAGCTTATTCAACAGGTCAAGGCCAGACTCTGATAGGTCTGGTTTTCCCATGTAGGATGTTGTAGGGCTTTGAAATTTATTTCTTAAATTATTAAACCTGTTACAAACAAATCAAATGGTTAGTAGAAACATGAAAATACTTCTCCACCATAGATTGTCATCAGAGGAGGCCAGAAAGCCAAACCAGAATCACCCAAAGCTGGAAGCCTGGGAAAACAGCGGCAAAAATAAAAACATGAATCTCTGGCCGACAAGAGAAGCAATAGAATATAGAAGAAGATAATACTTACTGATGCTTTACAAAGTTGACCTTCACCCCAGGAAGCTTGGAAAACCCTGGCCAAATCGTCTCATTAGGGGTGCCAAGAATTCTGAATATCTGGTAAGAAAAACCACAGAAGTATATTAAGAAGACTTCACTCATGGTAAATGTCATCAAAAATCAAGTAATTCTCCATCAGCAGCTAGAAAGATACCTTGTCAATTTGATCAACTTCTGTTTTCCCATTGAAGAGTGGTTCTTTGCATAGCATCTCGGCCATGATACAACCCAGTGACCACATGTCAATTGCAGTAGAATATTGCTTGGCTCCCAACAGAAGTTCTGGCGCCCTGTATGCATAAAAAACTAATCAATCACTGGCTAAATAGAAGCCAGCTAGGCGAGAACTCAATAGAAACCTTCATTTACGTACAGACGCACGGCAATAGAAGTATCAGTATCTACTTAAATCTTTTCAGATTAATGAAGAATAAAAAATGAAACTCACCTGTACCACAAAGTAACCACCAAATGAGTGTATGGTTTCAAGGGGCTCCCATATTGACGAGCTAAACCAAAGTCACAAATCTTCAACTCACCTTGGTTGTTTAGAAGCAAATTTGAAGTCTTCAAATCTCGGTGAAGGACCCAATTATCATGAAGATACTTGACACCATGCAAAAGCTGGAGCATAAGACATTTGACTTCACTTTGGGTAAATGGTTTTTTCATTGTCTCCATTAATGCCTTCAGATCATGTTCCATGTACTCCATCACCATAAAAATACTGTCAAGACTGCTTCTTACAACTACTTCTTTGACATCTACAATTGAGGGGTGATGAAGAGAAAGAAGAATGTTAATCTCCCTGAGAGATGTCAGGGGAAATCCTTCTCGTTCCTTCTCCATCTTAACCTTCTTTAGTGCAACAATTTCTCCCGTCTTCTTATCTTTAGCTCTGTAAACAACCCCATAAGTGCCTTCATCTATCCTGTTAAGCCGCTCGAATTCATCGACGCTTCTACACCCCTGCAGCATGTTTACGCTCCTTTGTGGAGGAAGCGCAGCCTCCGGTGTACCACGAGAATCATGTTCATCTTCAGATTCTGTATCTGACTGGCTAACACTAGTCCCATCATAATTGCGGTCCTTATCCACATCCATTGAGTCATTCTTATCTAATTCATTGCCCTGGTAACTCTCTCTGCTGCAAGACCTAATATGTTCATCAGAGTCTGAAGACCTCGTTCTATTTCCTCCGGAGCTTTCTCTCTTGAGCTCCTCATATTCAGGAGTTAGTGATTTCCTGCGTCCACCCATTTCAGCTGACTGGGAAACTGCTCGTCGCTTTTTCAATAGGGGCGTATCATCACCTGAAATCTCACCTTCATCAGCTGGAGAGTCAGCATCAGTTGCCCATCGAGATGATCTTATAGTCGGCACGGGCACGTATTCCTCATCTTCTACTTTCCTGGCTTCCTGACTGAGCAATTGCTCCTCATCAACAGGTGGAGAACATATGTCAACTGGGGATTCATGAGATGCATCCATAAGTAAACCAAGTGCTGTATTTGTATTACTTGGGGATGGCTCCATACTGTGAACATTATTAGTGTTCAACAGAGAGACCTGCTCAACCCTTTCAGGGGGGAAATTAGCCAACTGGCCAGATGACTTTGGCAATGGAGGCGGAGGAGGTAGCTTAGCAGCTACTGGTGAATTTCTACTCTTTGACATTCTATTCACTTCCTTATCTTCCCTATCCCATATAATTGGAGAATATTTTCGTTTCTTGCTCTGTACAGAAGACTGATTCCCATTGGCGGCATTCTTGGTCTTCTGGTCTGACTCAATAGCCCCATCAGACCCACTCTCGCTAGACAATTCCCCAGGCTCTCGGTCAACAGCCCTGACACTAAGCCCACTTCTCCTCATTCCACCAGCATCACCATCACTACTACCAGAATCACTCCTGCTTGACCCGGACCTATAACTGCCATTTATCATATCCCTTTCTTTTATAGGCTCTCGGTCAACAGCTCTGACACTAAGCCCACCACTTCTCCTCGCTCCACCACCATCACCATCACTACTACCAGAATCACTCCTGCTTGACATGGACCTAAAACTCCCATTTACCATATCCCTTTCCTTTATATCCCTCTGTCTCAACCTACCCCTATCTCGACCACTCCTGTCATGAACTCGATCCCTATCAAAATCCCGATCCTCAGACCTAATTCTTTCGTAATCCCCCTTGGAGTAACCAAGCTCCCGCCGTGAAACCTCAAACTCAGCCTCACGCCCCCTAAATTCATTATCCCTGTAACCACCATGTCTTCCAGCAGCCATGTAAATGTTTGTATCAAAGAAAACCCTAAATTCACCTATAAACCCTAACCCTAATTTCACAAATAAAGTCGGCAAACCCAACAAACCCTAGCTCGATGAAATATCGAGTTATTTGAAAACACAATAGCAGATCTGGTAAAAACTAATCAAATATATATAAAAATCAATTGAAGTTCTTTTCCCTAATTTTTTTTTCCTTTTTCTCGAATAGCTTGAAAAATTCTAAGACATAGAGACAGCGAAGAAGCGAAACCCCTAGGAATTGAAGACTTTAGGGTAAATTTACGCTCTTTTCCGGCACGTTGTAGCTGAGATCGGAATACTTACCGGCGAATCGAAGCAACCAGACACGACGGCGGCGACGAAGCTTTAAAAGAGAGCGAGGGAGAGAGAATATGCGAGTTGTATTTGCAAATTCCCAATACGAAAGCGAAGGGAAAGTCCCAGACCGCGTAAAGAGGAGTTTTAAGATTAGCTTCGACTTCAAGTATGTTAAAATTGCAAATTAGACCCTCTATGTTTATCAATTTGTTTATTGGAATTGAGAGAAGGACCATGATGTTTCTTACATGTTTATTTAGCTCCACGAAATCTTTGCCACAAGTTCAAATTTCATTGGGTAACATTCCAAGGCTAATAGATATTTCTATTTATTTATCAAAATTATGGACTTTGGTATACTTATACTAATCAGTAATATGTATGGAAAAAGGTCTGAAATATATCCAAAATTTGATCGAAATTGTTGTAACAATCCCAAGTTTTGGACGAGTGTATTTTAAAGATATATAAGTGCTCAGCTGGACAAGTTACTATTTAGGCATAATACATAAACATAACCATTAACTTGGCTTCAACGGACAATTATGCCCTCCAACTTTGAGTGTGCACAAATAGGCACTTAAACTTGTATAAAATTGAACAAGTAGACACACATGTCTTACATGGCATAATACATGTAGGACGCTACATAGGACACAAATTTTTCATGTAAGGTATCATGTAGGACGAATGTGTCTATTTGTTCAATTTTATACAAGTTTAAGTGTCTACTTGTGCATACCCAAAGTTAAAGGTCATAATTGCCAGATGATGCTAAATTAAGGGTCATGTTTATGTATTATGCCTACTATTTATAATGATGCAATATTTATGATGTTCACGTGGACACATATATTTCTTTAAAATACACTATTAAATAGTGCATGGGTAATTGACGGACATTATTCTAACCTAACTAATTTAACTGAGGGGTATGCGAAACTATGATTCAGGCAATGGTTCAAATTACCTCAAAAGGAAGGTGTTCGATACCTTTCGAGGTCCACAAATATGGAATCCCAACCATATTGCATATATTTTATGTGGGGGTTAACATGTAGCAAACAAGGTCTATTATTTAATTATTCTAACTAAACTAAATTAAGTGATGAAACAAATATAAACAAGTAAGGCATTTAATACAAATAAATAACATAAATACATTGAAGAGATGAGCAAGGAGACCAAAAAAAAAAACACAAATAGATAGGAGAAAATATTTTTTTATTAATTAAACTACCCCAAATATATACACAAAACATATTAAAAAAAAAAAAAGAGAAAAACCTAATTTAAATTACCCGTTTTGGATCAGCGCTCGGCTTATTCAGTGTTATTAAGACAAATCAAAATTTATCATTTTTTCTGCTCAAGTCAACTTACATCATTTCTAGTAAAGGACTAAATACCCCTATCCTTCAATTTTCTAAGTTCATTTATTATTTAGCTCCTAAAGCGATTTTCAAAAGAAAATCATAAAACTAACGTCCTAAAAAGGTATCTTGTGTCCCGGCTTAATGTCCAAGAAGCATTGAACTACTAGATGGTAGGGTTTAGACTTAAAGAAAACTCAAGAAACCTAATTAGACACTAAGCGTCAATCAAAACACATTGGACGAGCACTTAGCACATAAATCTCATATTAGCCTCTAAATTAGTTATCATCATGCTAGCAAACACACGTAAATAGTGAAAGAATATTCATGCATTATTGTGTACGCAAACAAGCAATTTAGCATAACAATATGTTAACTAATTTTAGAGAGGACATGTAGATATAACATTAATCAGAAAATTATTCGTAGCCTATTAGTTTTTAACTGTTGAAAGGTCAACCAGTAATTGCTAACATGCTAGAAATAAGTCAGAAATTATTTTTATTAAATATTAACATACTGAAAATTATTTAAATCCTATAGACATGGTATTTATTCAATTAAACAAATCGGACCTAACATACAATATTTATGCCTATTTATTTTAAACATTCTGAAATAGTCATAATGTCTCTTGCTTATTTAACATGATAGGGTTGTTTAAAATCTAATTAATCAATGAAAATATTGATCGGACCCTTAACATGATGTCTAACCCATATAGCATTCTTAAATTGATTACAACCTATAAACATGATTCCCAAGTTTGAACATGCTAAAAAAACTTTTTGAATAAGGATTCACACACGATAACTGATTATTAGCATGCTGGAAATATTAATAGAATGTATGCATGATTTTCCTATACTCGAATAGTATGTTAAAAATATAACTAATTCCTATAGACATGATTTCAAAATAAACAATAAGCTAAAATAATTAGTTTAAGCTTCTATGCATGATTTTCTACTCTCAAATAATACATTAAAATTGATTAGATCTTATAGGCATGGTATCTAAGCAATTAACGAATCGAAACTTTAACAAAATTTATAAGCATGATTTCAAAACCAAGGGTAAGATAAAATACTTGTTTGAAGCTTATTATATTATTAGGTCAAAAGTTATTTAATTCTTATAGACATGATATCTACTTATCTAGTAAATTAAACAATTCACAGTTAATATAATATTTAAGCACAAATTCTATATTAATATCCTGAAATTTTAGTAAGTATCTATAGGTACAATCCGATTGATTAACATGCTTTGATTATTAAAATTTGATTAATTAAACTAATTAACTAACATGTTGAAAATTATTTAAAAAGACAAAAGCATAAACATATAAGAGTCGGTTTTTAATTAGATTATTAGAATTTGACAGTCATAAAAATTGGTTTTAAACATGATGATAATAACATTAAATTCAAGTAATTAATCAACGCGATCATATATCTATATCATACATACATACATAATTAAAATAAAGTAAAGACAAATAGCACATAATTCCCCTCCCCCAGAGGCATACCCACATGCACCCGGTAACTTTTTTTTTAGATATATATATATATATATATATTTGATAAAATAATAATATATTTGATTGTGCACCCTTGTAACAAAAAGACGCCTAGTGCATTGGTCAAAGCTGCAATTTCCGACCGCGACTACGTGAGTTCGAATCCCGTGAAAGACTGTGTTTTTTTCCTTTAAAATCATTTTTGCATTACAGTTAACCTTTTTTAAAAAATTGCCACCTCATCATCCCCACCCCCTTCTTAACCACCCTATTTTTGCCATCTCGTCTGGCCCCATTCTTTTCTTAATTGAAATTAAAAACAAATAAAAGCCCTAACACAGTTTTAAACAAAATATAAGACGGCAAGAAAATCTACAACTTACAAGTATTCTTCACTGCATAATTGAAGTCCTACTCCCATTATCTTGCATAAATTGGTAAGTTCTTCTTTATAAGCGTATTTTTTTTGTAAGAATTTGTTGTTGATTCTTGTGATTTGAAATTGATAGATTTTTAACGAAACATAATTCTTCTCAACCAAGTGCTAGTTTTAGAGACAATTCTTCGTATTTTATAGATGAGTTTGATTTGCAATCACTTAAACCGGGTCCTGGAGAAAGAATATCCATTGATAAATATATCCCTGGATTACGAGATGAAGTGAGAAGACACTATATTCAACGTGGGCCTTGTCGACCGGATATTAATGGTAATGAATATCCTCAAATTAGATTCGAAACGAAAATGCGTCGATTTTGTAAGGCATGGTTAATTAAGGTTTAATATTCTAGATGGTTAGAGTATAGTATGAAGAAAGATGTTGTATTTTTCTAACCTTATCCTTAAGCCAAAATTATTGGGGCCTCAAAATTTTGGAGGCCTAAGCAAGGCGCTTTGCTAACTTACCCTTAAGCTACTCTGAGCCTTACCCTTGAGCCACTCTTAGTGGTACCCCCCTATCTTTAAATCCTGGATTCGCCTTTGTCTCCCCCTTTAGACGGTTCTCCCAAGTTATTTCATATATGTATGGAGCAGTTGGAGTATACAAAATTATTACAAAAAAATTGAAATAAAGCAATAATAATACATAAAAGTCTAAGCAAAACTAATTCCGTCCGGAATTTCGGTCCCAGGCGAACTCTTCGACATCTTTAACCTTATGTTCAAAACCTTGTTAAACAAAAGGGAGATACCGACAAATATACAACACATAAAGGCAGTCTAATATAGCAAGATGATAATATTAATTATAGGCATCAACTTACGCACATAATATTAATTATTTCATATACATAGGCAGAAAACAGATATACAAGAATTCAGACAAGTTATGAAGAGTATGAAATCACACACATAGCAAGAAGGAATTAAAAAAAACTGACCCGGATGCTTTCCTTTTTATTTGTTACAAATTAAATTAAATTAAATAGTACACTAATGCAAAACAGAAATTAACTTGAATAGAAACACTAACCAGTTAAGCAGAGAAAATAAGCCAGCAAGAAATAACTCGATCTGATGCCCAACTTGAAACAATGAACCTAAACAGAGAACTTTTAAAACCATTTGTAAAAAATATTATTATCTTTTGAGAGTAGAGAGTATTTGGTTGCCAGTTAAAGCGTCTGTAAATAGTGAGAATGATGTCACTTTGTATAGTAAATAGGAGGGTACATAATAAAGGGAAATAATAAATTTTGGGATCGATTAAATATTTTCCTTAAACAAGTAAAGAGTAAAATCAGTCAACAAACTTTTTTACCAATATCGAACATATATTTAACAAAAATAATATGTAAAATCAATTTGTCCTTGACTAAGGCAAGAAAGTCAATTAACAAACTATCAATTAATATTACACATCATCAGTCGAAAGAGAACAATTATTTAAGGAAAGACCAATAACATACAACTCAAATCAAGTCTCAAAATATACACTTTCACATACTACTTTCTAGTATCCGTACCATTTCCAGACAAGTAACAATTTAAACAGATACTAAACAAAGCAATGAAGGAAAATAAATAAATTACGAGCAAATCACGAAATTCAATTTTACAAGGATACCATAAATGAAGGGAGTGAAAATCAAAGATTGAAATATTTTGAAGCCGGACTAGATTACAACATGATCGTAAATAAAAACCATTCAATTTAGCCAAGGAAACAATCAATTAATCATCAATCATCACTCCAGATTATCAACTTGACATATACAAAAATTGTTAACAGGTCAACAAATATTATAGCACCAAATAAGGTGAAAGTTGAAGGAGATTACCATCTAGATACAAGTTGAGAAAATCAATTTAAGTTAAGAAACAAATTTTCAGTATAAATACACTCACAATACATTACCACCAATTTTACATTTCATGCAAGTGAATATTAACACGATGATATTTTAAAGCTAAAGAAACAAATTTAACACAAATTATTAAGCAAGCTTATGAAGAAATTCCGCAATCATTATTAAAATGAAAATCATAAATTATATATTTGGAAACAAATCAAGAGTAGTTTAAGAAAAAAAATTTAAAAGACAATCAAGTTAGGAACGTACTCGGACAGATCTGTAAGGATTTGTCTTTAATAAGCCAAAATCTTGAAGCTTCATGCTGACCAAACTACATCCAAAATGGTGCTCGTTGTTTCCATCATATCCATTGATCGGAGTGGCTAGTCGGAGCTCGGTGCGTTGTTATCGACCTCCCGGAGTCGACTGGTCGGAGCTTTAACGCTCCTGTTTTTATTTTACTCAACCTCACCCGAGAAAAGAGAAGTGGAGGCGGCGCTTGTAGCTGGCTAGTCCTCGCGCTGGCTCGCTGGCCGAAGCTACAAGCATAAATCGTCATTTTGTTGTTGTCGATCTCACCGACGGATGAGGGTCGATTGGTGGTTCGTCGGTGTTTCCATCGGCGAAAAAGAGAAGAAAGGGGGATGGAGGGAGAAGAGGAGAAGGAGGTGGCTGGTGATGGGGTTTTTCCGGGGGAGAGAGAGAGCAAATGGAGGAGGCAAGGGGGAGCCTCACCGGTGGTGGCGGTCAGAGCAGCGTGGTCTCGCCAGTCGGAGGAGAGTGGAGGCGAGGAAAAGAGAGTATGGAGGGTGCGGCGCTGCTGCATTCTTCGAGAGGAAGAGGAGAAAAATGATTTAAGGGTTTTTGGGGGTGATGGGAATTAAAATAGGAAAGAAAGAGTTGGTGAATCCGAACCGTTTGGATCTATTAAACTGAACGGCTAGGATATGATCTCAGAGTTGCTCCATGTGATGGATTAAATGGAAGTTGAGAATTGGAATAAGAGTAGGCCACAATTGAAATCAACATGTGACTATAATTGAAATAAAATTGAATTGAGAATGCTAGAATTGAAATGAAATTGAATAGAAAAATGGGCTATAAGCTAAATAAATTGAATAGAATGGACTACAATTTATGATTTAAGAGAAGATTAAGTGAATGGCTATTTAATTAATAATGTACAATGCCTAATAAATTTAATATTATAAACTTTAAACCGAAAAGTAAAATAATTATTTCAAAATTTGACTACCGAAAAAAATATAATGAATAAAAAATAATAATTTGATAAGAAGAATAATTACAATAAATTGTGTAAATCATGAATATTAAAATGTAAACTATTTACTTAAAACTAATTAAATTTTTGAATCCGTGGAATAAGGGAAATTTTTTTGCAATACATATTTAGTCAAATAGCAATTCGGAAAAGGGTACAAGTCGATCAAAATTGGTTGTCAACTACATTACTGATTCCATGAATTTTCATGTATTAGTGAAACATACTTTAATGTCAAATAAAGTGTATAAGATAGGTTGAAAAAGTGTACAAACAAGGTACTAATAATATGCGAAGTTAATGTACATGCCTTATTTTTTCTAATGCACTCTACCAAATGACCCATATTCCATAATACCAAATACAGAGAGTCTTAGTAGATTTGTTGGTTAGTTGTCTAAACTCCCACTTTGTTAGTGAGGGTTCGATTCCCCACATTGTAATCTCCTCCTTATTTCCCTTTTCCTACTCCCATTTATTTTACAAAGAAAAAAGTTCATAATACCAATTATAGTGTATAAAATTGTACCAAACAAGGTAGGAGGTGTCAAATGGGGGGGCTAGGTTGAAATTGGAGATATTAAAATGTATTGAAATAGATATTGAGTTGGGTCTTGACCCGTCCAAGTTTACTTTGGGCTCAAATGGACTTAAAATGGGTTTTGACCCGCTTAATCTCAATAATATTAATATGTTGTTAGTTAAGTTTGTTAACCACAATTTGAATTCAACTCAAGATTTTTTTTATAAAAAATTTACAAATGGATAGATAAATCTTAAAACATACACAATAGATAGTAATTCATACATTCAATATAGGAACATACTACATCAATACAAATAAAGAGTCTTAAAACGGGTTGAAATTGGAGATTAAATTGAGCTCAATTGAGAATTCTCTTAAAATTGGTTTAGGCTTTAATGAGTTGAGATTATGGGTGGCAGAATGGGTAATTAATATGAGTGAGTATCCACTCATATTTACCCATTAAAATGGGTTGGTATCCAACTCATTTAAAAATGGGAAAATTGTATATAATAGCAAACTATTAATTCAAATTAAATGCTATAAATATAGTTTGATTTAATTGTACCTCATAGCAAATTATTGTTATTTCACCTCTCTCCTGGTGAATCTCGCTCGCCACTCTCGCTCTCTCCCTCGCCTCTCTCGTTTTTTATACAAATGCAAGTGTATAAAGTGCGTTTGTGTTTGTATAAAGCGAGAGAAAATTGTATATATACATATATTTTCGTTCCCCCCTCTCCC